GATGTTTTAAGCAAAAAGTGAGTTTTCATTACCGCTGCAACTATTTACTATCATTTCTTGTTCTAAAGCGACTCTAGGGTTTTATATTCATTGTTTGATTTTGATGAAGCGCTCGCAAGAAGGAGCTGAAGAACAAACAGAAGGAGGAAGAGAGGCGTCGCAAGGAAGAGGAGAAGGAGAAAAAGGTGAATTACGGTTGTTTTCAATTTAAAATTATAGACCGGTATAGCTTCGATTTTGTGTTCATCAGACTAAGCAAATATTTTCCCTATCCGTTTCAATTTATAAATTCATTTTCTAGCTCAATTTCTATCAAACCAGCAAATAGATAATTTTTTTTTGAACTGGGCAAGCTTAATGGACCTATTTTTTCTCAATCTTCCGTCTATTAATCTTCTATGAATCTACTATCCACATTCCTCGAACATTAATGATGTGAATCAAGTGGTTAGTCGACTATAAAAACCCATTTCAGAGGCTTAATAACTTAACTAGGTTCTTAGTTTTCAACCAATCGTGAATTTTCAATAATTACTGCACTGAGTATGAAGATAATGTGGCGTATTTCTTCTTTTAGTGGCTTCTGAAATTACAACTTTTTCCCTCTAAATTGACTACAATAGACCATCTTCTGTTATGCTGCATTATTGTATAAAGAAAGTGGCTATGTAATTGCCATGAGATAGTAACTATAATAGTTCATCAGACATTAGTATTATTGTGTGAAATTCGAAACACAATGCCAGATATTGCGATTGTTTGTATTTGTGAAGACCTAAATATCATCATGGCTTTGTGCATTTTACAGGCTGCTGCCATGCCAAAATCAGCTGTCCAAAAGCAGTCAGCTGCAGATGATGAAGACATGGATCCAACGGTATAATTGTTTTCTTAATTATTTATACTAGAGTTGTGTCTTAGTACTCATCTTTACTTGATTATCATACATGTCTCTTCTTTGGTTGCAGCAATATTTTGAAAATCGTCTGAAAACACTCGCTACTCAGAAGGCAGCAGGAATGAACCCCTACCCTCACAAATTCCATGTCTCCATGTCCATTCTTGAATACATAGAAAAGTATGAAAGTTTAAATAGTGGAGATCATCTGGAGGATGTTCAAGTTTCTTTGGCTGGTGAGTATGAGTCTAATACATGACCTCATCCACAAATTTCCTTCTTTATATTGATGTTGATAATTGTACTCTTGCAGGGCGGCTTATGAACAAACGATCTTCTTCATCAAAGCTCTTCTTTTATGACCTCCATGGTACTGGTGGAAAAGTGCAAGTTATGGCTGATGCAAGGTAACCCAAATTTAATATTACTTTGAAATTGCATATTACCTTTATATTCTTTTTAAATCTAAAAGCTATCTTTATTGCCAATTGGTTTTACAGGAGATCTGATTTGGATGAAGCTGAGTTCTCTAAGTACCATTCTAGTGTGAAACGTGGAGATATAGTTGGTATTGTTGGGTTTCCAGGTGTGCGATTTTTTTTTATTTTTTTTAATTTTTTTATTTTTATCTTTTAGTTCTACATTGTTTCTCATATTCTTTTTCTTTATTGGCAGGAAAAAGCAAGAGAGGTGAACTGAGCATTTTTCCAAAAACATTCATGGTGCTTTCTCATTGTCTTCATATGATGCCAAGGCAAAAGAGTGCAGCTGTTGCAGAGAACGCCAATGTGAAGGTAAAGCTTTGTTATATTGACCTATTTACCCCTATTTGTTGGGTCTTTTCTGACTTGGGTTTGTGTTCATTATCTTCAGAAAATTGATGCTTGGACTCCAGGAAGTGGCAGAAATCCCGATGCATATATTCTGAAGGATCAGGTATTTGACATATATAGATATACATATAGCCACTGTTGCATGCAATTTTTTCTTTGTTTCACATTTTAATTTATTTAATTATATTTTTTTTATTCTAGGAAACACGATATCGTCAACGTTATTTGGATCTGATGTTAAACTCGGAAGTCAGACATATATTCAAGACCCGGGCAAAGATTGTATCTTATGTTAGACGTTTTCTTGACAATCTTGATTTTTTGGAGGTAAATCACATTCCATTGTTGATTTGTTAAAAGACTAAAATGCCCCTATGACTGATGGACTTGACCATTGTTATTGAAGGTTGAAACTCCGATGATGAACATGATTGCTGGAGGGGCAGCTGCAAGGCCATTTGTGACCCATCACAATGACCTAAACATGAGGCTGTTTATGCGTATTGCCCCTGAACTTTATCTGAAGGAGCTTGTTGTTGGTGGATTGGAGCGTGTGTATGAGATAGGAAAACAGTTCAGGAATGAAGGAATTGATTTGACACATAATCCTGAATTCACCACGTGTGAATTTTATATGGCTTTTGCTGACTATAATGACTTGATGGAGATAACTGAACAACTCTTGAGTGGTAACTTTTATATTATTAGCGTAAATTACAAAAATGGTCCCTTTGTTTTTTGATTTTTTCCGTGTTTAGTCCAAAATTGAAACCTTTCGGCCTTTATCCTTGTCTCGAATTTTGTCCCCGAGACTTTTGGCTTCTGATTCTTGTTTCAAGGTTAGAGGGGGACCAAAATCGCTATGAAACCTTGAAATAAGGACCAAATTTGAAAAAGGGTTTCAGTTTTGGGGTAAACATGGTTAAAACCAGAATGCATAGGGACTGTTTTAGTAATAATTATTTTTATGGGCAAGTTTGTTAATAATGCATAATGAAACAGGCATGGTGAAGGAGCTAACAGGTGGATACAAAATTAAATACCATGCAAATGGGTTAGATAGTGACCCCATTGAAATTGACTTCACCCCTCCTTTCAGGTCATTACCTTACCTTACTAGCTTATAATTCATACAAGGGTTGAATCCAAAAATAACAACATATTTTCTTTTATTTGTTTATTGTACTTTGAAAATATCTACTTCTACTTAAGTTATATATAGCAATGTCATCTAAATACAAAGCAAGTGTTTTTTTTTTAATGTGATTGATATTTTACAGAAGGATTGATATGATTGGAGAGTTGGAGAAGATGGCAAATCTAAGCATACCAAAAGATCTAGCAGGTGATGAGGCCAACAAATATCTTGTTGAGGCATGCAAAAAGTTTGAAATCAAATGTCCTCCACCTCAAACAACCGCACGTTTGCTAGACAAAGTAATGATTTATTTGATTTAATCAAAATATATAATTTGTTTTTGTAGGATATGTGTTATTTATTTGATTAAATTTGTTGTTGTGTATTATTTAATTACACACAGCTGGTGGGACACTTTTTGGAGGAAACATGTGTGAACCCTTGTTTCATAATCAACCATCCTGAGATCATGAGTCCATTGGCCAAGTGGCACAGATCCAAACCAGGATTGACTGAACGTTTCGAGTTGTTCATCAACAAACACGAGGTAAATAAATGCTATTTTTGCAGATAACTTGAGTTTCCACTTTAACTATATTTTTTTTAAGAATCATTTGTTTTGATATTTGATTGTGTCAGCTTGCGAATGCGTACACCGAACTGAATGATCCAGTGGTACAACGCCAGAGATTTGCTGATCAATTAAAGGTAACGAGTGTGTGTGTCTGTGTTTTGATTATTATGATATATGTTGGAAGAAAAAAATATTGGTAAATTATTTATTAATCTTATTGTAAAATATTTTAGGATCGACAATCGGGAGATGATGAAGCCATGGCTTTGGATGAGACGTTCTGTACGGCTCTTGAGTACGGGTTGCCACCAACTGGTGGTTGGGGACTGGGTGTTGACCGGCTTGCTATGCTTTTGACCGATTCACAGAACATCAAGGTTTGTGGCTGGCTTTCTGCAGTTCTTACATCACATGTTACTTGTGTATTTTTCATTAATGTTTTGGAAACCAAACAAACAGGAAGTTTTACTTTTCCCAGCAATGAAACCACAAGACGAAGCACCTGTCAAAGGTACATTTTTTATTTTTTAAAACCATACAACAAATTCACTTTTTGTTTGTGTTATTGGGATATGATAAGTTTTACCAAGTAACAAATAATAATGAATTGCAGCTGCAGAAGTCGTGAAAAGTTGAGCTCACAAATCTATGTTCAGTTTTGAGGAGATTTTGATGATTGTCAAAAATTTGTGATGAATAGTTTGGACATAGTGATGATTGTTAGTGCTATTTTCATGGGATTCGGTCTTGTCTGGCCTTTACTTTACCAAATTTAAATATTACATCGTGTCCTGATTTTGAAGCTATTATGGAAAGAATTTATATTTATACTTTATATATTTATATTAGGCATTATGTGTGTGTAATTGTTTTGGTTGTTCTCCACTTTCTGAGATATTGTATATTTGTATGCATCACAAACATGCTGAACCTGCTAGCCTTCAAGAATCAAGATCAATTTAGGGGATTAGCATCCTAATTCATTAAGCCATGTTTTTTTTGGTTTAACCCATGAAGTCCATTCTGTTTTTTTCCCTGTTTAATTCTGGGCGGATAAACTGTCTGAAACGAAACTAATTAACTATTTGACCATTTTACATTCCAACAATTGTTTGTCACAATATCCATCAATTTTACCGTGAATGAGAATGAGAATATGAGATTCGGAGGAAAACAAAAAGAAGTGCAAATAGGTAAAAGGTAGGTGTCAATCTTAATAGATTAAGCTAGGTTTTTATTTATTAAGCCATAAGTCATTCGGTCCAGATTAAGTAAAAATACTATCACGTATAATGTGCTTAACTCATTAAGCTCATTAAGTAAAAAAGAAACAACCCTACCCCAGTACCCCTTAAATAACTGAACTTACGGTTTCAATCTATTGTTGTATGGTTGAAAAAATAGCCTGAATGCTCTAAAGATGTCAACTCATTTCACTTGAAATATATATAGGAAACACAAACAAAACTATATACTATATATATATATATATATATATATATATATATATATATATATTTATAAAAAACTATGATAAAAACTCTCTTTGGTGAGATTTATAGCAAAAATATGAACATTACATGTTGTTTGTTAGTCTATCAATTGAACGGATGTGATAACAGGTATTTTTTCTCTGAGTTTCTGTGACAATGCAACACGAACTGTCATCACCCCTGCTGCAGGCCCACTGAGTCGGACTTTAACATTGTAGTCTTTGATTTCTACAAACTCCAGAATTCCACCACCTGTGCCTACCAAGTATGGCCTAATCTCTGCAAGTATCTGCAATCTCAAAAAAATCTTGGTTAGCTCAACATTTTACATGAATTTCAATGCTTAATAAAAGACCCTTGTTTTTGGATTTGGTAAAGGGTGATTGTAATTGTATTCATACAAATACCTTTTCAACATTCTCCTCATTCAAATCGAGTCCGGTTTCTGTATCAATGAGTTGCTCAACATCCATAATTTCAGGAATTTTATCTCTGAGTCGAGTCTCGATTCCCATTTTGAGTGTCATTGTTGAACTGGGACAGGAGCCACATGCACCTTGGAGTTTAAGGACAACAACAAGACCATCAATCTCATGCAACACAACATTCCCTCCATCCGCCATAAGTCCAGGCCTCACCTCATCCAATACCTTCTCCACATTCTCTTCCGTTAATGGAAGAACACAAACAAACCCTACAAACAGATTAAATTTGAGAAAAAAGATTCATACCCGCAATCGATAAAAATGAAGAAGTTGAGAATTTATATGAAAATTACGGTTTTGACCTAAAAAGTCAAAGTTTTGGAAGAGAAGATAAGCCTAGAAAACTTGTTCCATTCATGATTTATGAATTTCAGTGGATGAGATGAAATAAAGATGTCGAATTTTCAGTTTCTTTGTATCCACAAAATTTCTACATTGCTATACCTCGTTCGAATGGTTAGATACAAGAAATAAGCAATCCACTTTCATTTCTATGTATAATAGTAGTATTTTACTTTGAAAAATCATAATTGGGTAGATATTTCAAAGTATAATATCCTAATAAGAAAAAGAACAAAATTGAGAGTACAATGCTATAATTTGTAAAATTCTGAAAGTACAATGCGTTGATAAGAAAAAAGGTTAATATACAACTTTGTAATATTAGGATACTATAATATGTAAATAAATGAAAGTAAGTTGTTATTTCTTGGCTTTAGCCCTTCAAATGCTTATGCAATTTGACTTCTAAAGCTTTAAACATATAATACAAACTTTTTGTATGGCTTCAAGCTAAAACTTGACGATTATATTTATATGTAACTGTGATAAGATTAAAAGTGAAATGCACATAATAACAATCTAGTTTGGGTCAATTCTTACTTTAACATAATGTCCTTTTTTACACATAATCTTAAGATACTTTATTTTTCTTACATTTTTGGTGATGTACTTCTGCTACTTATTCAAAGTAACAACATGTTTTAAAATAGACCGAGAAAAGAAGAGTGACTGTTGCTTAAAAAGCATGAAGTAATTGTTGATCATTCATCCTTGTAAAATTAAAGTTTTATTGCTTCATATGGCAACATACTTTCTCACAACGTACTTTTAAATTTTACCAAATAGCATCATACATTCAAAACCAGTTACATTGTTTACTTAAGAATCCTATATATTAGATTACATAGCATTTTAAATTACGCATTTACCCCTAATCAACCATACAAATTACTAATCCTCAACACTTTATTACATTGCAAGTTCATGGGAGGGAGTATGGTGTACCTAAACGCTTTCTTAGTCGTCGTCTGGTAGAATCTATTCGGAGAAATTGGTTTATGTGGAATTCTCCACTCAAAAATGACTTCTGTTTCGACAAATATGATCCCTGATTACAGAAGCAGAAACAGAAATGGAACAAAGCTTCGTAACCAATTTCTAGTAAAAATGGAAAAGGTTTAGCGAAATGAGCAGAAATCGGTACCTCTCTGGGGAGGAAAACGTGTGAAGGAGAAGGTTTATCGTCTGATGAATAACAACAGATAGATGTTGAAGAAGATGGTGTTGATTTCAAACATCTTGTTTGAGTGGCGATTGCACCCATTAGTTTTGCTCGATCAATAATGAAATTACTGGGATTCGATTTCGATTGAAAACGGTTGATGAGAGACTGTTGATATGATTATGACGAAATCAAATTCGAATTTTTATGGATTTGGAGAGGCATTTTCCTCCCGCATATCTGTGGACAGAAACTCATCTTCAAATGTTTAGCTTCTTTTCCCCTCATCGACACGGATAGGATAATACATTTTCAGTAGGAAAAAGTAAATTTAAAAACATTTATATTTTGAAAAATTGAGAAATCTAAGGGTGCGTTTAGTTGCGGAAAAATGGGCCGTTTTTCGGAAAAAATTTCCAAGAAAAATGAGAATTTTGAAAACGCGTTTAGTTCGTCTATTTTTCTAAATTTTAATTTTCCGTTTTCTAAAATTACAAAGAAGTTGAAATTTTTTGGAAAACTGATAATCATTGTTTTCCATATTTTTCTAATTCCAAAATTTTTCTAAAATATAAACACACACTCACTCCCACCCCATCCACCTCTACCTACCCCCACCCCCCACACACACATACATACCCACCCACACACACACCCACCCACCCACCTTCATACACACACACACACACACACACCAACCCACAAACACACCCACACACACACACACCCACCCACAAACACACACACACACATACATACCCACCAATGCACCCACACACACACAAACACACTCACACACATACCCACCCACACCCCCACAAACACACACCCACACACACACACACACACAAACCCACCCCTACCCCCACCCCCACCCTCATAGACACACACACCCACACACACACAAACCCACATCTACCCCCACCCCCACCCTCACAGACACACACACCCACACACACACAAACCCACACCTACCCCCACAAACACACACATACACACACACAAACACATACTCGCACCCCCACCCACCCAACACCACCACCACAATCACCGACCTACCATCACCATCACCACCACCACCACCACCAACCTGTCACTACCACCACCACCACTACCACCGCTGCCGCCGCCATCACCACCACTAACACAATTGCCGCCGCCACCACCATCGCATGTCATCACCACCACCGCCGCCGACCCGCTACCGTCACCGCCGCCACCCACACCCTACCACCGCTACCGTTTTCTAAAAATGAAAACCGATAAAAAAATACACATCTAAACACGTTTTCTAATTTTCTAAAACTGAAAATGAAAAATGAATAAGTTTAACTAAACGCGTTTTCTAAATTTTTCAATGAAAAATAAAAACGGAAAACGAAAATCGAAAAGGGAAAACAAAAAACGGAAAATGAAAATTGTTTTTCCGTAACTAAACGCAACCTAAGGTTCTATCGTTTACGGAAAATAGTTTTCATTTTCTTTTCATTTTCTGTTTTTCATTTTCCTTTTCGGTTTCCGTTTTTCATTTTCATTTTTCATTGGAAAATTTAGAAAACGCGTTTAGTTGAAACTTATTCATTTTTCATTTTCAGTTTTAGAAAAATAGAAAACGCGTTTCGATGCGTATATTTCTATCAGTTTTCATTTTTAGAAAACGGTAGCGGTGGTAGGATGGGGATGAGGGCAACGATGGGGGGCAGTGGTGGTGGTGGCGGCGGTGGTGGTGGTGATTGCGGCAGCGGTGGTGATGCTGGTGATGGGGCAGTGGTGGTGGTGATGATGATGGTAGGTCGGTGATTATGGTAGTGGTGTTGGGTGTGTGTGTTTATAGGGTGGGGGTGGGTGTGGATGTGTGTTTGTGTGTGAGTGGGGTTGGGGTGGGTGTGTATTTGTGTGTGTGTGTGTGGGGGGGGGGGGTAGGTGTGTGTTATGTGTGTGTGTGTGTTTGTGGGAATGGGCTTGGGAGTGGGTGGGTAGGTGTGTGTGTGTGTGTCTTTGTTTGTGGGGATGGGCTTGGGAGTGGGTGGGTGTGGGTAGGTAGGGGTGTGGTGGGTTGGAGGTGTAGAAGTGGGGTAAGGTAGAGGTGGAAGTGAGTGTGTGTTTATATAATAGAGAAAATTTGGAATTAGAAAAATGTGGAAAACAATAATTATTGGTTTTCCAAAAATTTCTAACTTCTTTGTAATTTTAAAAAACTGAAAATTTTCATTTTCCGTGAAAAATTTAGAAAAATAAACGAACTAAACGCGTTTTCAAAATTTTCATTTTTCTTGAATTTTTTTTTTTAGAAAATGGTCCATTTTCCGCAACTAAACGCACCCTAACCATTTTTCAATATTTTAAAAACAATAACCATTTAAAAAAAATGACCATAAGGTCCGAAACGGGTTATTCTGGACATGTTTTTCGAAAATGGTCACGTTTATAAGATCCGACCTGACCCGGTTTTGTGGTCCCTATAAATTTCGTTTTAGAGTTAATTTATACGATTTCATTTATTCCGGAGACCGTTTCGAACCTACATTCCGAAGACGTTTCAAACCTAATAAATCACAAATTTCTTCTTCGTGAGGCGAAGAGATTCACTTTTTTATATGTAAGTTTATAATTATATGTCTTTAATGCAGATTGTATGTTAACATCGGCATAATTTATGTAATTATATAGGTTTTTATGTGATTTTTAGTGGTTTAAAGGTGATTATATGATTACATTTACTTATATATGTATATCACATCAAAAAATCTTACAAATATAATCATTTTGACTCGTCCGGAATGAATCCAAAATCTGTAAAATACCTCCGGTATACTAAGAACTTGTCCGGAATACAACGAACAGTTCCAGAATATAAATATGGATTCTTATTTCCCGAAATCCATATCCGGAAAAGGATTCCAAATTTTTTGATCCGAAATAGTGGTTTGTACTGTGTATTCCGAAATCTTGTCCGAAACATACATGCTAAATTGCCTTATTGATGTTTCTTTTGATTATAGCATGACAAAACATATGAAACGGTTGCAACTAAAACATGCGGGCCTGAACTTGGGTGGGAAATCATGGCTTGTTAACAAAACCGAGGAGTTTGTGCGACCATGTTTAAGCAATCATGTTTTGGTGATTATGTGAACATGCCGATGGGTGTGGAATGTCATCCTTTACTCTGTCACTATCTTATATGCAAGGAATATACTACAATGATCCAGTTGACCTATAAGAGCTTTTATTTCCATTACACGATTATCGGGGTTGCTTCGACAGGAAAGCATTTTGCTTGATTACCAGGTTGTGGTTCGAGAACTATTCCACCCCCCCCCCCCCCCCCCCCCCCCCCCCGGGTTCTGATTTGGCACAGTTTAAGAAAAAATAGAATATATTTTACTGGGGTAAACACGAAAGTTTAGAAAGTCGAGGGGATGAAAATGATATTTTAGAAAGTTTAAAAACTAGGAGGTAAAAGTGACATTTTACAAAGTTGAGGGATCGTATCTGTTGGTGGATGGGGCAAACATTAAAGTTTAGAAAGTCGGGGGTGAAAGTGACATTTTAAAATTTTGAAGGGTGGTAGGTATAGAAAAATTAGATTATATATACTACAAAAGGTAAATACCAAAGTTTAGGAAATAAAGCGGTAAAAATGACATTTTAGAAAGTTCAAAGTTTGAGAGGGTTGAAATGACATTTTACAAAGTAGAGGGTGCAAAAGTAGGTATGAAATTTAAAACCGAAAAACCGAAACGGAACCGATATAACCGGAATATGCTAAATATATATTTTTAAGCCATTTTATATTTGTTATCTAGTTTATCAAATTGTTTTTACCAAATGCTATTATTTTATCATCTACAAGCTAACGTTAAACACAACCGTAATCAAACAACCATATTTGATAAACATTCAAATACCCATCCAACTTATCATGTCACATGACTAGTTTAAGTTTAAAGCCTTTAATTTTCTGTAACCATTGTCCCCTTATACTATCATAAAAGATAAAACTCACAGTATATAATGAACCCAACATGACCTCATAATCTCATATCAATCCTTAATATATAATGAACCCAACATGACCTCATATCAATCCTTCTATGTATATTTTCTTCAAAAATGTTTTTTTATTTTTATTTTTATATCAACCATGCCTATTAAACCATTCCATATTCGCCTTTTGTTTTGTCCACTCCTGTTTGGCATTGGTATGGCCATTGCCATTACAATGGTTACAACATTATTTTCCACTTCCCCTGCTAAAAAGTGAATACGAGACTGTTATTTAGAACTACTCAAACAACGTAGTTTTTAAAACCACTAAAAATGATGTTTTGAGTAAAAAATAATGTTTTTTAAAAAGAAATGATGTAACCGGCCGCTTAAAATGACATAATTTTGTGGTTATGGGTTTAGTGAAAAGTAGGTGGTTTTATGGTTGAACATAATTATATATTATATATACCTGTACATGATGATATTAAACATCCGATTTTCCTTCAACTGCTTTAACAAACTATGTGAGGGTCGAGCTTCCCACTGCAATAGCTTGAATGAACAACCAAAAGTTGTTGCCTCCCTTTCCATTCCTCTCCAAGTTTCAATGTAATTGGGTATTCCACTGCTGCAGCCTCCACACAAAGCATATGCTTGTATTCATCATCTCCAAAATCAGGCATAGCCTTCGCCTTCTTATCCCATGGATTCCAAACCCCTACAAAATATATATATATCATTTCATTACCCATGCAAACAAATTTTTCCAAAAAATTTCTGCACATTGTTGTTAGAGTCTCAACAGTCAGAGTATTTGAAAATTTTCATGATCTTACCAGCATCAGGAAGGCCATCTTTCCGAATGACAAATGTGCGTTTCTTTTCATGATCAATGATTGCAATCTTTGTTGGTGTGCTCAGGTAAACCTTGTCAATCTGATAATAAATAACCCTACATAAGCCTCTAACCATGGAAAAGAGTTTCAAGAAACAAAAATCATTACTTCTGATTCAAAAGTTATTGCATCCCCTTGTTCTGTAAATCGCTCCCGATTCTGCAAATTGTCAAGATAATCCAGCGTCTCCAATCCTTCTACACGGATTTCACTGAAACAAGACAATCAAATCTTGTTTGAAAACACAGCTACACCATGCTATTGGGAACAATTAAGATGATGCAATAATAAAAAAAAAAACATGATATTAAGTCGATTTGATAGGAACTAATATAGACCAAATTCTAACATGATTATATGTAATATATACAGGGAAAAGATTGAAAAAACTTAATATACCTGATATCTGAAACAGAAAAATAAGTTTTATATGCAACAGTGAAAGAAAATGGTTTTCCATCTGTGTTTGTATTTCTGACACGAGATGTTAACAGCAAGTCTCCAACAGGTCCAAGACTAACCCTCAATCGGTATTCAAAGCTACAAAATAACAAAATGTAGTTTGAATTGAAGCATCTGAAAGACGTGTAAATAACATAATTAAGAATGTCTAGTAGACAAAAGGGGTGCAATTAAGATCACCTGTGAGGCCATGTCTTCAAATCATCTTCAGTGGACTTGAAAATCAAGTCAATGAAAACTCTATTTGTGGGATTAGTGGGGAAGGGAGGGGGGTCATTGTCAACACTCCATAATCTGTTTCTTGCAAATCCATGTAGTTCAATAGAGCCTACATTTGAGAACTGCATTCATGAAGAAAGTCTCATGTCTATGATAAAAAAATAAATAAAATATTGAAATAGCCAAAAGACAAGGAGTCACACATACGTGAGGGAAGCATATAGGAATTCCCCCTCGTATTGGATTTGGGGGCGTGAAGGTTGCCTGCAATGTAAGGTAACCATTCGTTTCTAAATATTATGGAAGATAACACAAGGTACAAATACATTCAAGTTATATAATGTATAGTACCTTATTACTCATAAATAGCAACTCTTCACCTTGCTCATTTTTCCAAGATGTCACATGTCCCCCATAAAGATATACCTTTAAATGACAAACAGCAAAAAGCACTAAGGACATAAGTCCACATTCAACTACAGAAAGAGTAAATCCATCTAATCACATGTTTGCAGCATGTATATATAATTACACAATTTATTTGTACAGAACAATGTCTGGTACACCATGTTATGTGTCTTTCTCTTGAGGAGGTCAAGAATCATCAAGAGTTGCAGATACTTTCTGTTCATCAGCATTTGGGTATCAATGGCAGGTAGAGGATATTGCTATTGCCCGAGAGTTGTAGGAAATTAAAAAGTGTATGCATGATCTATAATACATAAACCATTTTATAACTTGTTATTGCACCATAGCCATCGCATAAAGAGGCCAAAATAACCCTGTGCTTATGAATGGAACTCTTATAATGCAAGCCAATAGATCAAAACTTTCGTCTATCAAATATACATATGAAATACACGATTCACACATTGCCAGAACCAGAAAGAACGAAAATACACATACACCTGGATGATTTTAAACATGAATTCCTCCTAAAAACAAGAATGCGCATCTAGATTCAATTGCAGAATCGTCACATATTAACCTAATACGACGTAATCTACGTTTCATAATTCATACGCTAGATGATCATCATTACGAATAATATTGTATATCAAATCAATCAACAATGCATGAAGAACAGGACACATACCACAAAATGATAGTAAGCGTAGAGGAATTGGAAGGAAATAGTTGGATCAATTATTAAGTTTACGGACCTCAACAGAACTGCCGTGGTGTTGATGGAGGACAACTTTTTGGAGGCCATTAATGCCATCAATGATCTCAACAGATCGGTTGCCGGAGGTGGAAATCTCTTCCGTCATTCGTCAAATTGCGTTTATAATAATCTAGTGGGAAATCTCACAAGAACACCACTATATTTATGTGTTTATGAATCTCTTGTAAGAAACCGTTTCGCTCTCTTCTTCTCCGATAGCGATTAGAAATTGGCCAACTTCCTTCCTCCGTAAATTTACGATAAATAATATGTATTTTTGGATATATTTATTTTATATGACTAAATTGAATAGATTATAATGTATTTTTATAATTGATTTTTTTTAATATACCAATCATACCAACAATTAACGGACCACATTTTCAAGCATGCCCTAATAATATGTTGGGGTAAATGAAAAAATAGTAATGTATAGACGTTTTGTATATCTTGTTATATTTATATTTTCAAATTAACTTTTTAGAGCATTGTGATTTGAATATATATTATTATAGGTTTATTTAACCCGATTTAAAAGATAGCAAGTTATCAATTGATATAATGAGATGTATTTTTAAAATAAAACGGTTTCATAATAATAATCTAAAAATACAATGTTGTATAAGAAACAAAAAAATACAATGAAAACTTTGAAAACCAAGCACACTCATATAAGATAGAAAGAGGTAGATATGGAGAGCCATGCCTCCATATGGAGAAAAACGATTGTGTCACAAAGATTACCTCTAACTCGTGTTAAAGAAAAATATAATGAAAACTTTGAAAACTATATTGTTTTTTTTTTTGTTTTTTTTTTCTTCGTATAGTCCTTTATAAAATGTTCAAATACATATAGTTTTTTCCCAATTTATGCCCAAATGCATTTAAACAAATACGATGTTTTCTACAAAATTTAGTATTTATTTTTCAATGGCAAACAATGTGCAATTTATTAAGTTTCTTAACAATACAGAAATGTATATCATTTTAATCGAATCTTATGTAAATAAAAAACTATTGTATTGTTGAATGGACACTTTTTACATTTACTTGCTATGACTAGCTAGTTGAAAGTCCAAAATAGTTTTGCTACCTTCATCGGTATTTTTGCAGAATCAGTATTATTAATTTCAAATAATGAATAATCATGAGTAAAAGTATTATTCAGTAAAATTCAAAGTATCATTCATATCCACTAACAAAAATAAACATATCCGGTATCCACGATTTGACCATCTATAACTTTCGTGTTATATTTCTTTCTATCTCACACTAGAGTGTCTCTTAAATTTCTGGTGATGAAATGCATTATATATCCACAACCTACTGAGATGTTACTTTGAAAATTTTAGTATAAATTATTGTTATGATAACATTTAATAAATTTGAAATTATTTAAATGTTATTAATAACTTAAAAATAAAGTAATTCACGTATATGTTAAAATTTTAATAATAATTTTTTGTAAACAAATGAAAAAAGCAAAAAGTGAGACAGATTCGCCGTATACATGTCTCGCGTTAATGAATAAAATGACAACACTTTCATGTTAAATCAGTTATACAAAAACTAATGCACCAGCCGGGAATCGAACCCGGGTCTGTACCGTGGCAGGGTACTATTCTACCACTAGACCACTGGTGCTTGATGCTTTAGATCTTCCGTCTTACCTATAAATCCTATTTACCAGGGATGTAGTAAATTGGTTTCAACACATACGTTACTTTCGTTACCCTAAAAACGTTGTAACCTTTTTCATTTTTCATTTATGTCTTTTCTTGATTTCCACCGTGTATTTTGATTCCGATTAATTTTATTGTTCTTTTTTTAGAACTGACATAAATATATTTAAAAAATTAGCAAGAATTTAACAAAAATTAACAAAGTTATAGAAACAAAAGACCGGTCATGCAGGCATCCAATCCAACTAAAGTTACATATTTTTAATTCTTTTGCTAATCCAAAAATTGAAAATTGTCTTCTTTTTTTCTTTTTCTTTTTTTAAATTTATTTATATGGTTTTACCGCTACAAAAACGCTACAAAAACACAATGTTGTTTCCAATCGCATCAAAACATTTACTTTGACCGCCATTAACCTTCATATTGTCCGTCCACAAGATCCACCTATCCATAATTATGAGAGGGGCACACACCCCACCATCTCGCAATCCGTTTTGTTTGTTTGTTTTTTTGAGTAAATTACACGAATGGTCCCTATTGTTTGAGATAATTTATGTGTTTGGTCCCTAATTTTTTTTTAACTCGAAGGTTTTTCATGTTTGTTTTTTGTTGCACGCTTAGTCCCTGAATTACCTAAAAAGACTATTTTGTCATTGATTTAAATAAACGCACCCCAACCCACCCTCATCTCACATTATCTTATCTAAAAAAACTATTTTAATTTATTTAAATAAGGGCATAATAGTCATTTTAGGTAAGACAAGGACCAAACGCATAACAAAAACAAATAGTAGGGACCTTCCGAGTTAAAAAAATAAATTAGGGACCAAACACACAAATTACTCTAAACCATAGGGACCATTCGTGTAATTTACTATTTTTTTTTTGGAAAATCTCTTTTTGGCCACTTTTGTTTACAGCGGACAAAAGTTTCCTTCGTAGATTGTTTGACTTTTAGAATACCACAAACGTCAAAACATCTATGCATCCTCCTCTCCAAAAAGACATGGTTCAATGTCTTTCAAAACTCACAAACGTCTCCTAAAAAAAATGTTGATTTGAAAAAATAGGTTAAACAAAATATGATCTTATCTAAACGCTTTTACCTGCTATATTTGCTACTCCATCGTTGGACCACCAGAGGACCGTCACCACTACGCCAATGCACCACGACACCGTCGTTGAACGTCGGCACACCATATCGTTGCAAGATAGTTGCATGTTCGATTTTTCCCTTGAAATCGGTTTATATTCCTTAAGGATGCGTTTGGTTGTGGAAAACTATTTTCATTTTCCAAAAAAATGTTTTAAGAAAATAGATTTGGGTTTTTATTTTCAATTTTAAATAATTTTTTTAGAAAATACGTTTGGTTGGAAACGGTGGAGTTTTCATTTTCCATGTTTGAAATTCAGAAAACTTTGGAAAAATGATAATTTTCATTTTTTTAGAAAACTTTGGAAAACTGAACGAACCAAACACGTTTTCAAAATTTTTGTTTTTCTTGAAAAACTGAAAAAAAATTCCAAAGCTAAACGCACCCTAATGTTTTCACCATTCCCCATTAGAGCAATAAAAGATAGGTACCCTTTGGGTGTATGATAGTACCGTAGGCCCAAATGTTTATTTATTTATTTTAATTTCATCACTAGTGAACGGTGACCCATCAAAAGAAAACTGATCAAAAGGAAGGGATTTAAAGAGTGTCGACTAAATAACAAGTCTAACCAAATTCAACCGCTTAAACATACTTTCATAATATGTTAAAAGAAACTCTTTTTTTAAAGAGTAATATACAAGCCAAACCATAACATGTTATACTCCATAACAAAGATAGGAAATCTATAAACGGGTGTGTTATTAAACCAAAAACCCTACACTGTTTTGAGATACAAATCATTCACAAAGAATAATCAAAGTTCGTAACCATTTCTGGAAACAAAACTCAACAAGAACTTGCATACAAACTCAAAAATAAGAAAACAAACGTCTAAATTGAAACCAAGATTAAAGAAACTTGTATACAAAATACCACTGAAAATATGAAGAAGACCATAGAGTTTCTCTCTCTGAACAAAAGACTTCTAAAGCTTTGTTTAAGTTGAAAAATTATGAATGAATCCAAATTAGGGGTTGCATGATAGTTTTTGATTGAGACATAAGCCTGATTGAATCTACATTCGACTGATACTGTTTGATTATGTGTTTGATTGATTATGTTAAATGATGAAAATGACCATTTTACCCTTCTGTTCTATTTGCAACTCAACATACATTTGTTTATAACAAAAAAAGAGATGCAACATCCCAACATAAAACAATATAAATTCATCTTTTTCTACATTAATACAATCGTAAATATCAAAATAATAGTAGAAACTTCATCTAACAACGATTTATCACCAACAAACACACATGTATATGACAAAAAAATGCAGTTCAATTTAAACAAGTGGATTTTTTCCCTTTTAAGATATATTCAAAGATAAATAATAAAACATGGCTAACCAAATCAAAATGATAACTTAATACCTAGCTTGTATTTATGCATCAAGGTTGACATTGATAATTCTAAGATGCGTGTGTTGGTTCTACACCATTACAATCATCATAATGTTGAGATAGACCTGGTTTGAGCTATGTTACTCAACATTAACTTAAGATTGAGGAGCAACACAATCGCTAGCAATTTTAAGAACTTGAAGAATTTCATCATTATGACATGTGCCAACAAGATTCTTATCTATGGTGCTCTTAATTCGTCCCGAGCTCAAGAGTTTGTTTACCCAATCGACTAAATTATCTTTAAACCCTTCTTCAGAAGCATTGACTTCAAGGGTTTTTGCCCTGTTGCCACTTCCATGAGTACAACACCAAAACCATAAGTATCAACTTTCTCAGAACCATACTCATTACAAATGTAATTCTCACTTGGTTGATCAGAAGATTAAGTCAGACCTCTTTTTCAAAATCCACATTTCTTGCATCATAATCCTCATGAAAGAATATAACATAAGAGGTAACATTATAAATTGATTCAGCTCCTCTTTTTCAAAACCTTCAATCTTTAAGCTTGTACACTTTTAGTCCTCAATTGCAGCAAACTACTCTTCCAGCCCTCCTATTTCATGCCACTTATCAAATACAACCAACATACAAATTCCTTTAGTCCTTAAAGTCTTTTGTATTTTGCACATAAAGTCACGAACTTCAACTTCTTCATCTATATTTCTTTTACAAATAATCCTACAAAAGAAATTAACACAATTTGTTATTAAACTATTATTTTCCAGGACAAGCTAGATTGGAAATTAACAAAAATTAAAATAATTTGATTCTAATGTTCTTGATGGATTGGTAAACTTATTTTCATTTATCTAGGGAAAATGCCAATGTAGCACAATCAATTATTTTCATTTATCAGATTTGGTCACTAAACTATTTTTTGCGCAATAAGTCATTAAACTTACAAGTTACATGCCAATTAAGTCACATATACCAAATTACCGATCCTACGTGCAGGTGTGACGCGTCGAGGAAGTTTAATGACTTTGCATAA